TGCTGACGGATATACCAGCAATACTGGTGTTTGTGTCGAGGAAAGTTCATAAGCAGTGGCTTAGCCCGATTCAATGCCTGCCGACTGCTTTAGAGGTGACCATTGGTGATTGCTTTGCTCGTGCTTTTTCCTTTTATGAACCTTAATTTTCAGGAGAATGCTCGTCTTCTATTTTCTTCGTTTTTTGCTTCTTTTTTTTTCCATCTAGAAATTCAAAATAAAGGAAGATATGAAATGTGTTCTTTTTTTTTTTTTAGAAAAAAAATATCGGTCTCCTGTGATTAGTTATGGCTGATTCAGGGAAATTTGAGAAATACAGTCTCGATATGTTCAGGTCTTGTCCATAAAAAACTTAAGTGGTATTTTGGAATGTTCAGGGGCCAGGAGGTGTATGGTGTGATGTTGATGTGGTGGAATTTTCATATTTTGGTGCACCTGAGCCTGCACCCAAGGAACAGTTATACACTGAGATTGTTGATGACCTACGTGGCAGTGATCCATGTATTGGTTCCGGTTCTCAGGTACACGGAATAAACAAGCTTTTTCTTTCATTGAGCCAAATATATGTGGAAATATCACCTCATATATATTGTCATTCGAATCAATTTGTTCCGCTACTCAAGCCATCTCTACGCATAATAACTTGAATGTCCCTGTTTGTTTTGGCGAAAAAAGTTTTAGTTTATGCACAACTTTTTAAAATTTTGCTACCATTTGCATGCATTAGTGCAGCATTCTATCAAGCATGAGTACAGATCATGCGGCCTACGTCCTCTGTTAAAATGCGGAAACACCATATAAGGAAATTAGAAAGCATCCTTGAGTAATATCTTTCTAGCATGAAACTTGCAAGTTGGAGTTCATTAATTTACCATTACCCACTGATCATGAATGTGGTCTGTGTGTGCCAAATGTGATAATCATTACGCTTCGTTAAGTTCTGCAGTGATGAGGTTGCCTTATCCTTTTAAGCTTCTACTTTCTAGTTCCTTTGTCTACATTCAGTTCCTGAGGCAATTGTTGGACACTCAGTTATATTCTCCTTCCAATTTCCATCAAATAAAATCCCTTGCACTAACAATTATCTGCAATGTCAGGTCGCAAATCAGGAAACCTATGGGACCTTGGGTGCTATCGTGAGAAGCCAAACTGGTAGCCGACAGATTGGTTTCCTCACAAATCGGCATGTCGCTGTTGATTTGGATTATCCGAACCAGAAGATGTTTCATCCTTTGCCACCAACACTTGGACCTGGTGTTTATCTTGGCTCAGTCGAAAGAGCCACTTCTTTTATCAGAGACGATCTCTGGTTCGGTATATTTGCTGGCATTAATCCAGGTTAGTCATTTCTGTTGTATTTAATATTTACTATTGTCATTGTACTTTTTATATTTGCCGTGTTGCTTTTTTTTTTTTTTAATCCCTTCTCTCTCTCTGCAGTACGGGTATCTTGTGAATAATAATATAAGTTGTATTTGTAAAACGAGTATTTGAAGTCATAAAATCTCTACCATGTATCTATTAGATAATATTGTTGGATTTTGATATTTATTACAATCCTGAAAATCTTGGTCAAAATTAAAACACGTGAGTTAAACACGGATCATATAAATTCACATGGACCATACAGATTAATCACTATCTGTAAAACTACTCCCTTTGTATGTTCTATTTGTCACGTTTCCAAAAATAAAAATAAAAAAAAACATTTTATCTGTCACTTTTGAAAAACCAAAACCAATTAATAGCATGTTTTCTTGAATTATTGTCCATTTAATATTTCCTTTCCTGATACCATATCACTAGGGACTAGGGAGTCAAATGGTTTGTAATCGAAATTGTATTATTAACTAATACTTCAAAAAATTTTCAAAACAGAAATATAAGGACATGCTTTCTTAATATGTGCGAAAAGACTAAAACGACATATAGAACGAAATAGATGAAGTATTTTACGTAAATATATCGATACCGGACCATATAACTTTTTCTATTTACGTACACTCTCCGTATCTGATCGAAGATCATAAATGAATAATTTATTCAATATTGTCCGTAAAAAAATGGATTTAAAAATAATTATCACATTTCTTCATTTTGCAACTAAAAATGGGCAGGTAAAATTTAATTGTCCACTCGTCATACATATATAAAAACAAATATGAATACATGCAGAGACATTCGTGAGAGCAGACGGCGCCTTCATCCCATTCGCCGACGATTTCGACATGACAGCTGTCACCACATCCATCAAGGGCATAGGTGAAATAGGGGACGTGAAGGCCATAGACCTTCAGTCCCCTATCGACTCTCTAATCGGGAAGCAAGTTATGAAGGTCGGGAGAAGCTCCGGCCTCACCACAGGCACTATTCTGGCTTACGCTCTCGAGTATAATGACGAGAAGGGAATTTGCTACCTGACAGATTTTCTTGTTGTGGGGGAAAACCAGCAGACATTTGATCTCGAGGGTGACAGTGGGAGTCTTATAGTATTAAAGGGCGAAAATGGGGAAAAGCCACGGCCTGTCGGGATTATTTGGGGCGGGACCGCCAATAGGGGCCGTCTCAAGCTGAGAGTGGGCCAGCCCCCGGTAAACTGGACAAGTGGTGTTGACCTTGGCCGTCTGCTGAATTTTCTCGAGCTTGATCTGATCAACTCTGATGAGGCCCTGAGAGGTGGGTGTATACGTTGACAGTTGGCACTATCTTTTTTTT